CAGAGCGGGGCAGAGGGGCAGAATCCCCTCTCTCGCCCTGTGCCCACGCTGCTGGGATGCAGTCCAGGGCACGGTTGGCCTTTGGGGCTGCCAGCGCACATTGGTGGCTCATGTCCAGCTTTTCATCCACCAGTACCCCCCAAGTCCTGCTCTGCAGGCCTGCTCTTCTTCACCCACCCCAGAGAAACCAGAGATGATGATAGGTCTCTACTAATCTAATTGATTATCGGGTCCAAAGACAAGAAGCATTTTTTGCTAGCTTTGGTCTCTTCTGTAGCCCTTGGACCATAGGAACCCAGGATAAAGACCCGCAATTCCTGGACTGAGTAAAAATCCTACTCTGGTGACAACCCTAATGCTAACTGCGATCTGCAAATTCACAGCAGCCTTTTCCTGAAAAAGAATGTTATTTTTTCCATTATTTTCTCTGCTGCTGCACAGAAAAGACAAGACATGGAGAAGTGGGATTGGGGACAGCCACATAGAGAGATCAGAAAAGCAACAAAAAGGGGCTACGGCAAAGAGCCACAGCAGCAAGGCACTGGCAAAAAAAAGAAAGAAGAACAGCTAAGTCTCCTGTGGGACCACAGCTCTGCAGAGCCATCCTGTTTGCTCAGCTCCCTCTGCCCCTTCTGAGGCCCTTCTTGAACTTCACTAGTACAGTCTAGATGGCTGAAGGTCAGTCCAGATATCCAAGACTTCATGCTTGCTGGAGACATTTTTTTGAGGAAGTCTGCATGTCCTCTTTTAAGTCCTTTCACTTTCTCTGTTGCCTGTGCTTCCTCTCTGAGGACTCCCATGAGGTGGACAGATACTTCTGCCAGGCCAGTGACATCTTCCTGCACAGCATGAAAAGAACCACGTGCGGAAGGCGGGCATCTCAAAACTCCCATATGAGCATTAAAACTCCCAAATCAGAGCTCACCGAAGCCAGACGAGTAGGTATTTTCCCCTCTCCAATTACAGCCTGATGAAACTGAGCACAGTATTTATTCCTCCATTTGTTAAAAAAAAAAAAACATGAAAATGTGTCAAAGACAAGGAAGAGAAGCAGAGAGAAGAGATTTGATCCCAAGAAGAAGGCGTGGTTTGAATCGGGTACTTAAAAGTGTGAGGCATGAAGTTGCTAATGAATACAATTCGAACTCTCCAGGCACTAGGTCACAGAGACCGAAACAAGGTTGAGGTTTTCTCCTTCTAGGGCAAATGACATTTCAGCCACCCAGCTCTCCCCTAGGAAGCAGCAGGAGCTGAGGAACAAGCCTGAAGACACAAGGACAACCAGCGGCTGTTACAGGTATAAACAGCAGCAATGTAGTGCCAAAAGATGATAAATGCAGACTATGAAAAAAAAAAATGTTTATGAGCAGATAATGGTCAGCTTAAAGGCTTTTAAAAAAGAAAAAGTGTTCCCAAAGACACTTCCAAAAGAAAATCAATAGAAATTCAGAACTAGTACTGTGTCATTATATTATCATCTAGAGCCTGCAGTCTACAGATACTGAGCGTGATTCACCCAGATGCCGTGTCCCGTACTTGTACTGACCTCAGAAATATTTCTCTCTTCCCTATGACCTCATCTACATCACAGAGATGCACTGCAGCAACACGCTCCCGCCTTGGGCCCTGATGCTCCAGGGAACCTCACGTCATTCAGGACTCTCTCTAGCAGAAGCTGCGTGCAGGATTAGGGCTTCACATCGCACGGCAGTAATGATGTCTCTCACAATTAGCACATGCTCTGGCGATCTTGCTCGTCGAGACGTCTGAAAATACTTAGTGTGGTAATGAGGTTTCTTACTGTTCAGACTTTGCATTTACAACCTATTGACATGAAATAATTAATGAACATCCCACTGGAAACTTTAAAAGAAACAAAATGGGATACATTCTATCATGGAATGTAGTTTTTATTGCATTTGCAATATCCAGCCCCCCAGGTTTAGGGTAGAAACCCACTAACATGTACAAGGACTGGTTTTTAAAATTCCGGTCCTCGGGTGCGACAACATCTGGTGACATCCACCCCCAACATCTGGTGACCTCTATCCCCAACATCTGGTGACATCCACCCCCAACACCTGGAGCTCTGCCGAGCAGAGGACCCGTCCCTGCCTCTGCGGGCGCAGGGCTGCGGCGCAGTCCCACTGACGGCCCTCATCCCTTTGCCCGAGGACCAGCACCTCTCATTAGCGCGTCGCCTCGGGCTGGATTTACATCTTTAATTGGCGGTGCGGGAGGCGCTGCCCGGCAGGGGGAGACCGCTCCACCCGCAACGGGCCGGC